ATGATACAAAACAATACACAACAACTTCACAAACCTGATGTGATGTGTAGTCATTTCATTAGTGGAATGCAGGCTGAATGCCAATGATTTAAATATGCTATGCGTTACCAGTAACTATTGATGTGTAATACCCCCTCTTTAAGAAATGATAAACATAATACGTACTGGGGGAGTTATACGGCAAAAAAATTTATTAATTGCAATCTCAATTTCTATTTTATCATGTTTCATAGACTCTGTATTTTCTATTGCCTTGTAAGAGGTAAAAAAAAGTCATCTGCTTCTTCTGAAAATTCACACTTCACTGTGATTGGTTAAATCCAACAGTGACTCACTCAGAGCCTTGACCAAAAAAGAAAATGAATGGGAAAAAGTGTCTACATTGAAGCAGGAAAAAGTGTCTGTGTTGAAGCATTAAATATACAGTAAATCATGATATGATGTTTTTACCAAAATAACAGATCATCACAGGTATGAGCTCCCGATTAAATTTTTTGTCCATAGTGTCTCACCCTAATCTGAGTACAAAACTACTACTCCCATGCAGTATTTACTGACTGTGTCTACCTGTGTGTCTAGTCCAATGCGTTACCAAGCCACGTGAAGATCTCAGTGTCCAGGCAAACGCTCTTTGAGGACTCCTTCCAGCAGGTGAGAGAGTTGCACTAAAGAGCACACTGTTTTCTGGTTTCTGTGCCCGTCATGTGACTGTGTCTGTGCTAGATCATGAACGTGAAGCCGTACGACCTCCGGCGCAGACTCTACATCATAATGCGAGGGGAGGAGGGGCTGGACTACGGAGGCATCGCCAGGTCAGTCTCTTTCTCCCTGTGTGTCTGTCTGTCCTTCATGTGTGGGGCTGCTTCCTCTTTGTGTCCTCATGTGTCTTTGGTGTCTCCAGTGTCTCGTCAGTGGTTTTACCCTATGGTAGGTGACCTCATGCTGTTCTACCACAGGGTAGAACCACGGACAGGATGCCGGGGGTGTCTGCGTCCTGTGTCCATGGTGGCAGCGGTGGTGGCTCTGTTAGTCTGTCTGCACAGTTCTCTGAAGGTGTCTGTCCATACTGTCCATCCAAACAATGATCTTTAAATCTTCTGTACTTCTTCTGTATGTATTCATTCATGCATCATTCATTCCAAATCATTCCCTGATTTTTGTGCTTATGGTTTTGTTTTGATACTGATTTTGTCACAATCTAAATAAATTCTGTTTATCAGTGGTTTCTTGTTTATGATCATGTTTTAACAATAGGAATCACTTCAGATACTTTATTTTTGCAACTTTCTAAGCAAATTTTAAAGATATTAATTTAGATTAGATTATAATTTAACTCTGAACCAGGGTATATTAATTCAGATTTGGCTTTTGAAAATATATGCTATGGGGCTCAACAGTCTGTGATACTAGTCCAAAAACCCACTGAAGCCAAAAATTTTGCAAAATGTTTTGTTAACATTGTGGCTTATAACGTTTCAAAAATATGTGAGGCTATCATACCCCTCCCCCCCAGGTCTGGACTGTTGAACTTCATTGTGGGCATGTTTTGTGTAATTTGTATAATTAAGATGAAATATTAGCTGTAACCATCTCAACTAAAAATTGTTGGTGGATAGAGTGTTGTGATGTCATGAAATGCAGAACCCCGCCCATGTGGTAGTGACTACACTGTGTCTTCTGTGCAGGGAGTGGTTCTTTCTGCTGTCCCACGAGGTGCTCAACCCCATGTACTGTCTGTTTGAGTATGCGGGCAAGAACAACTACTGCCTGCAGATCAACCCCGCCTCCTCCATTAACCCTGACCACCTCACCTACTTCCGCTTCATCGGGCGCTTCATCGCCATGGTGAGCTCTGTCACTCAACACTTAAAGTGCCCATATTACCATATTTTCTGTTTCCTCTACAAAAACATAGCCAGAGTTGTGTTTTGTTTCATTCACTCATGTTTAACACACAAGCTCTGCATATTTAGGCTTAATATAATTATATATTATATATTGTAATTTATTAATTTTGGATGAGATGTGACAGAAGAAGAGGTACTTTCAGGCGAGCTCTGCTGTATTTTGTTATTGGCTCAAGCATTAGTGTTTTGCAGGAATGAGCATGTTAAGACATGCTACGTTTAAAAAGAGCTGACCATTAGGAGATTGTACCAATGCTCTGTTTGCTTCTAGGCGCTGTACCATGGTAAGTTCATTGACACTGGCTTCACACTACCTTTCTACAAACGAATGCTGGACAAGAAACCAACCCTTAAAGACCTGGAGTCCATCGACCCTGAGTTTTATAACTCCATCATGTGGGTCAAGTAAGTCCCAACTCTGGAGTTATAATTGAAAATTACTTTTTCATTTAATGATGTTCAGATTTAAAGCAGACCTGTTATGAAAAAAGTTCTTTTCAACCATGTTATAGTTGTTTCTTCTCACCATTTACTCACCCATAGTTGTATTTAGAGTGATTTGTGCATGTTTGGGCAAACTTTAGTTGCTCTGTACTTTTTTGTTCTCCAATTTTATTTTCTTAATCTGTGATACACATAGGATTTGGCATAGTCCTGCAATACCAGATTCCACTGGGCACTGCAGTTTTCTAGCACAAGTCAGTGGACTTATTTCTTTTATTAAGTCGTTATAGAACAATATTGTAACATTATAATGTATATATTATAATTATAAGATGATGATCCACGGGTGTCATAGATTCTAACTATATAGCAGACACAAACACAGTATGTACATATATAAAACTGTCCAGATAATGGCTTGTCAATGTGCATTCGTTTGTTGTTAATCTGGCTGCTGATCACCTCAGGGAGAACAACCTGGAAGAGTGCGGCTTGGAACTCTACTTTGCACAGGACATGGAGATCCTGGGCAAAGTGTCCACACATCAGCTAAAGGCCGATGGAGAAAATCTGCTGGTCACTGAGGACAACAAAGACGAGTACATTGGGTACGCTGATCGCAGGTGTCCCTTATGTCAAACTTATGTCCAGCTCTGACCTTTATGTGCTCTGTGTCCCTCAGACTGCTGACTGACTGGAGATTCACTCGGGGGGTAGAAGAGCAGACCAAAGCTTTTCTGGATGGGTTTAATGAAGTGGTCCCCCTCGAGTGGCTGCGATACTTTGATGAAAAAGAACTTGAGGTACCAGTACAGTGTGTATCTACTTTTGAGAGTAGAGCTTTATTTGATTTGAACATATAACACCCTCTCTCTTTTTGGCACAGAATCATATTCATATATTATATTCAACAGGAGACAAAGCCTCTTGAAATGTGTTGTACAGAGAGGCAGGAGACATTTATTTAGCATGTGTCCAGGATCTGGAGACAGTTCAGATCATACAGATCATGTGCACCAGGAACTAAATAGTCCTTTGTACAGCTGTGTAGCCTAACAGAGAGGGAGTTAAAAATGTGACAGTTAACAGTTAGAGGACTGAGAGGGAGGAAGTTTCAGGACTCTGTATTTGTGTGCAGCTGATGCTGTGTGGGATGCAGGAGATCGATCTGGCAGACTGGCAGAAGAACACAATCTACCGACATTATACCAAGAACAGCAAGCAGATCCACTGGTTCTGGCAGGTATGCTCTCAGCCCTCAGGGCCCCCTCCCCAGAGAGGCCAGCCCAGTTTGATTCTGTGTGTGTCCAAAGGTGGTGAAGGACATGGACAATGAGAAGAGAATCCGCCTCCTTCAGTTTGTGACTGGCACGTGTCGGTTGCCTGTGGGAGGCTTTGCAGAACTCATAGGTATGGCCCTTTCACACATTAAACTAAGTACAACTTCAGACTTGTGTGAGCTGACTGTCTTCTCCTGCAGGGAGCAATGGTCCTCAGAAGTTTTGCATTGATAAAGTGGGGAAGGAGACTTGGCTTCCACGAAGCCACACATGGTGAGATTTAGCTGGAACACAACTCTTCATTTTAAAGTGCTTAGTAATTTGTATTACTTGGATTTAAAATATAAAAACATTGATGTCCCACAGTACCTTTCCATGTGACAAATGTATTTCTTAGACTTGGACAAACTTTACTGATCCACACACATTATTTGGACACAGTAGCTCATGTCTCACACTATCATATGAACATTATAATTATTTAAGCAAAGATGCTAATACTAAATTCTAAATGAAAGCCTGTCTGCTAATACTTTTGATACAAGTTATTTGTACCTTGTGTGTGTGTGTGTGTGTGTGTCTATAGCTTCAACCGCTTGGACCTGCCACCGTATCGGAGCCTGGAGCAGCTAAGGGAGAAGCTGCTGTTTGCCATTGAAGAGACAGAGGGCTTTGGACAGGAGTGAAGCCTGTGCTGCGCACAAGACTTTGGCTTCAAATCTAACAGACATTTGGCTTCACTAGAATCAAGGCCTTGTTGATTGCTGATCTCTTTAAGCACTCACTCAGCAGGTTTCAAATTTCACCTAAAGACACATTTTCTAGAGTACAGCCTCAGCATGGCTTCAGAGGGTACTCGCATCCCACAGTGGATTCGGCTGCCGCCTGATTAGAGTTTTATTTTTCTGTTTATTGTGAAATTCTGCATTTGTCCTGTACATAGCTGAAATAAATGTTTCAATCTTGACACATGATTTTTGTGTGTTTAAGGCTTCATGTATGTTCATGTATGTTTATGTATGTTTAGTCAAAAAGAGAGAAAAACATGTTTTATAAAAGGATAATAATTAATCCCATTTCTCTTGCTTCTGAATGTAATGTGCTGTTTATGCAATAATGTAAATACAATAACAATAACAACAAGGACTGGCAAGAAGTCGTTGGGGTTTCACACTTTTTTGTAGAATTTAAAAATTTCCATAATAAAGCTTTGGGAAGGCACACACACCACACTGTACTGACTGGTGGTCTCAGAAAGCCGAGTAAGAACCTGACCTGCCAAGTACCATGGATCTAGTTCTATGCTGAATACACTAGGTGGCGGCAATGTATGGCTGTAAGTGCCAGTCGCCGTAAAATGCCACAAAAGAAGAAGCATGATGGAAGGAGTAGTTCCGTGCGGCTCTTTCTCACGTGCCCACCATGGATTATGATGCCTTCACGTTGTCCCGCGGTGCTGCCCTGTTCCAGTGATGAACGCAGTGACGGACCATGAATCTGGCTTGGACGCGGTGATGGACGCGGATGAAATAGCTGCGCTGTGTTACGAGCGTTTCCAGGAGTTGCCTCGCACTGGGAAGCCGGAGGTGGGGAGAGAGTGGACCCTGCTGGCTGCTGTGGTGCAGGTGACGCGGAATGCGCGCTCCGGCACAGGTACACACACAACTGCATACAAATCAATCACAACTAGTAACAATAAACACACCAGACATATACAAAGCCTGGATGTAAATCCATGAGCCTCGGTGGCGTTTAGAGTAACTTAGGCTTAGGCTTATCAGATAAATTGGAGTAGACACCTTCATGTCCTAATAGAAGTGAAAATGATGAACTTTCATCAGATTTTTCATCACAGGCTTTATGAAGTGTTATATTTTATTAATTTACTGTTTTTCTTATTCTACTGTGTATTTGCTCTTTTAGCTAGAAAATATCGTAACGCATTCATGTCTTGTTTGCAGCCGTGAAGGAGGTAGTTGCTCTTGGCACTGGCTCCAAGTGCATCGGACAGAGCGCCATGAGCCCCACTGGTATGTTCTGTCAATCTCTGTATTTATTCTCTCTCTCTGTTCAGATACACTTCAGATGTACACACTTTATTTTGCCACAAAACAGCGTGGTCTAGTGTCTAGACTAGCATTTATATAGGATTAGATTCTGGTCACCACCTTCACCATATACTGTCTTTGCATTGTAGGTGATGTGCTCAATGACAGCCATGCAGAAGTCATTGCTAGAAGAGGATGTATCAGGTAATTACAGCATGCCCCAGTCCAACACAGGGAAGGTTAGGTAAAGCAGATATGTTTTATTCATTCTGATAGTGATAGTCAAGTGACAGTGATTACTTTGGGATTGATCATGTTTGGGGGGAAAAAAATCTCTCAGAATTATAGTTCAGTTGAAATGTATTTTAAAGTGTATTTTAAAGATTTTGGCAAATAAAATAAGTTAAAGCCTTCAGGCTCTCCTTAAAAAACTCACTTTCATCCTCTTAAAAAAAAAAAAAAATCAGCATTTTCCTTATAAATGATGCTAAGTGATTGTAGTTTGTGGCAGTATTACTTGCCCCTAACAGTCCACTGATCATTTCTAGAACAAATTTATGCATCCATAGGAATACTAGGGATTGCAATAGAATTTGTATAGATGTGCATAAATGGAGCACTCAAATATCCTTGTGAAATGAGACTTTTAGTTTTTCAATAAATGTCAGATAACAAAAACGTAAAACACACGTGCACGCAGCATTCTTCCCTATGCAATGCAACAGAGAATAACTGTTTGTAATGGGATACCCCCAAAATTTAATTTTACACCATTCATAAACAAATGGAAAATGATAAAAGGATAAATTGCCGTTAACCTTCAAAAGATTGATAATTTACTGTTGTATTCTGTGGGAACTATTATGTCCCTCTGAAACAAATACAAAAATAGCAGGTCAATTTTTTTTTTATTTCATGTCTGTATTTTTCAGTACTTGTGTAAGGCTATGATAGGATGGAAATACCGTATTTTCCGCACTATAGGGCACTCTGGATTATAAGGCGTGTCATAGAATGGTCTATTTTCGAACTTTGTTCACAAATAAACCGCAATGGACTTTAAACGAAACACAACAGTTAGATGAGCCAGTGGGACTTTGTTTGGCACGTTCACGTTGACTCTGGGCTTTGTTCAGTTGTGGCGTGTAGGGAGGGTGCTGTCTGGGACCGCTGGATTGTCGGCGTGTTCGCAGTGACTCAGTTGTTCAGTTGTGTCTAGAAGTGGCACATTGCACTCGCTTTTTCGGTTTGTTCCTCTGTTCTGTTCCTCGTCTGCGTGGAGTGATGAGTGTGGCTGCGGGTGTGTTTCTCTGTGCAGTTGCTGTCTGCTCCGTGTCTGCGGGTGGTGTGGTTTTGTACTTTACTGAAGTCGTGCTGGGACACCCGAGTGGATTCGTGTATAGGGCGCTCTGGATTGTGGGCATGCAGTCGTTTTTGATGTTGTTGGAGGCTTATGAGTGTGCACTATGGTGCGGAAAATATGGCAAGTGTTTATAATGTAAGTCAGTGGGACCAAGAGTGGCTTTAAGAGAATTTTTTCCCCCTACGCACTGCACAATATATTTTGGCAGTTTTCATATGAGGCATAAAACAACCATTTGTCAATGCTAACTAGGGCAAATATAATCATTCTTGCATTAGAAATTAAAGCAAAAAATTCAAAAGTCATAAAAGGGTGCAAGCCAAGATGGCCATGTGAATGAAGCCAAATTTTATTATTTATTGTTATTTATCATGTGAGTGGATGTTATTACATTGTTAAAAGCTCCTGAAAATGTCTTGTGTGTAGAGTATATTTTCATCATAACCAGACTGAATGAGCTGATCCTGAAGAGTTGGTGAAGAGCAAAGCCAGCAGTAGGGGACCCTGGCCTTGTAGACTGACAGTGTCTTCTGGGCAGGTACCTGTTGGAGGAGCTACTGCGGGCTGTGTCCGGCAGAGACAGTGCTGTGCTGGAGCCCCTACTTGGAGCACACGAGACCAGGTTTAGGCTCAGGCCTGAAGTCTCATTTGTGTTCTTCACCAGCCAAACACCCTGTGAGTTTTCATTCATCCACCAATCCATCATTTCATCCACACCTACATACACTACCAGTCAAACGTTTAGACACACTATTTCACTTTTGTGTCTTCTTTATTTCCATTATTACTTACATTGTAGATTCTCACTGAAGGCATCAAAACTATGAATGACACATGGAATGTAGCAATTTGGCATTTCTTGACCCTGACAAGACACATGTGAAGTGAAAACCATTTCAGGATTTCATCATGAAGCTCACTGAGAGAAGGCCAATAATTACTAAATGGACCAATTTATTTTCCACACAAACTCAATTTGATATATATGTAAAAGAAATGTTACCGTGATTTGCACCAACAGGATGCCCTCCCACACACTTGTTGCCCACACTCCCCTTCCCCTTGTGGTAGCTAAACATTTGTGACTTCTTATCTGGACTACTACAGACTGATCTGTTTGTAGTTAGAGCAGTTATGTCACTTTTTTTGACTTTTTGAGTCAGATTTAGTCAGATCTTTGAGATTTGAGTTTTGAGAGCTTTTGCTAATGCCACACTTGCTTTTAGTGGACTAATGAATCTTCGGGGCAAGCCTTTAGTTGACTACTGTTTTGATACTTTATAGGGACATTATGCTGTGGGTGTCCTACATGCATGTTTATGGCAGAATGTTAAGCAATTACCATCGCCACACAAGGCGCACATTAGCAAACACTATCAAAGTATTTTAAGATTGAACTTAACTAACTTAAAAAAATAAATAAATAAAATTTAAAAAAACAAAACACACACACTCATTTTCAGGAGCCTGTGATCAATAAAATAAAATTTAAAAAAGCTGCAATGTATCAGTTTCAATAATATGAGTATTAACATAGCTCTTCAACTGGGATAATGCACAGTCACCAAAGCACCATGACATTTTCTACATTTGTTAACATGACATCCAAATAAGTATTAATACACCGGTAACCATTTTTGCTCATATCAGGTGGTGATGCTTCCATTATCCCCATGACTCAGGGGCCTGTGACCCCTTGTCCTCCCATCAGCGGCTCAGTGAAGAGAAAAGCATCAGAGACTGAAGAAATGCCCCACTCTAAACTTCCCCGCATCAAGCCCTATGCACAGCAGACAGGAGCTGAGTGTGTACAGCGGGGTTCAGCTGACCCACAAATGACAGGAACAGAGAGAGGGCAGCAGGGTACAGCCGACCCCCACGGGACAGGAGAAGAGAAGTTACAGGGGGGTACAGCTAACCTCCACAGGACAGGGTTTGAAAGAGTGCAGCGGGATACTTCTGACTCCCATGGGACAGAGGCTCAGAGTGTCCTAGGTCATGCAGCTGATGTGCACAGGACAGGGGCTAAGTGTGTACCGGGAGGGCCCTCTGATCCCCTGCTACCCGGAGCTGGATACCATAGCACAGGGCTCCTACGACTGAAGCCTGGCCGAGGGGAGCCTACCCTGTCTCTGTCCTGCAGTGATAAGCTTGCCCGCTGGAGTGTCCTGGGCTTTCAGGGTGCCCTTTTGTCCCATTACCTGCAGGGGGCCATCTACTTTACCACCATTGTTGTGGGAAAATGTGCATACAGTGAGGAAGCCATGCAAAGAGCTGTGACTTTACGGTAGGTATAACTTAATAGGTGGTCAGTATTTATCGTGTGTACATTTTCTTTTCACTACTTGGAAATTTTTGTTTATTTTCTTGGCTATACCCTAACCCTAAAAGATTTAAGCTATAAAGATTTGAATTTATCACTCTGTAAACCAAGTACTCAAGTGTTTCTGCTATTTATTTATCAGCTTTTTAAAATAAATATTAAATATATATATATTAAATATTTAGAAAGGTTTTTGTAGTAAAACTCTGCTTTATGGTGGCATAAATTAGTTTCAGTAGTTATTCAGTATCAAACTTCACACAAAATTTGTTATAATTTATCTCCTATTTGACAGATATACTTTTCACATTCTTTCTTGGTTTGGTGAGATAGTACTTCTGGTAAATATTCATCATAGTTTTTTATCTTTTAAAATACAGGGACAGTTTACGTACAAGGAAGGCATTTTTCTGGCAGTTTAAACCTTAATTTAACAAAATAAATCTGTTAAATTTTTTATTTTGTTTAATCATATTGTATAATTTCGATTAGTTCAGGTAATTCCATAACTGTGACCTAGTAACCATAATGTTAACAAGTGTCAAACCTAATCTAAATTACACAATAGTTGTGGTTGGAATGAATCATTGTGCATTCTATCAGAAAAAAATGCTTTTCCATCCATCCATTTTCGTCCGCTTATCCGGGGCCAGGTCGCGGGGGCAGCAGTCTAAGCAGGGACTCCCAGACTTCCTTCACCCCAGACATGTCCTCCAGCTCCTCCGGGGGGACCCCCGAGGCGTTCCCAGGCCAGCCGAGAGACATAGTCCCTCCAGCGTGTCCTGGGTCTTCCCCGGGGCCTCCTCCAGGTGGGACATGCCTGGAACACCTCCCGAGGGAGGCGCCCAGGAGGCATCCGGAACAGATGCCCGAGCCACCTCAGCTGGCTCCTCTCGACATGGAGGAGCAGCGGCTCTACTTCGAGCTCTTCCCGTGTGACTGAGCTCCTCACCCTATCTCTAAGGGAGCGTCCAGCCACCCTGCGGAGGAAACCCATTTCAAGCGCTTGTATCCGCGATCTCTTCCTTTCGGTCACTACCCAGAGCTCATGACCATAGGTGAGAGTAGGAACGAAGATTGACCGGTAAATTGAGAGCTTCGCCTTTCGGCTCAGCTCCCGCTTCACCACAACGGTCCGATACAGCGACCGCATCACTGCCGAAGCTGCACCGATCCGCCTGTCAATCTCACGTTCCGTCCTCCCCTCACTCGTGAACAAGACCCCGAGATACTTGAACTCCTCCACTTGAGGCAGGGACTCTCCACCCACCCAGAGAGGGCAAGCCACCTTTTTCCGGTCGAGAACCATGGCCTCAGACTTAGAAGAGCTGATCGTCATCCCAGCTGCTTCACACTTGGCTGCAAACCGCCCCAGTGCACATTGCAGGTCCTGGTTCGATGAAGCCAACAGGACAACATCATCCGCAAACAGCAGAGATGAGATCCTGTGGTCCCCAAACCGGACCCCCTCCGGCCCCTAGAAATTCTGTCCATAAATACAATGAACAGAACCGGTGACAAAGGGCAGCCCTGGCGGAGTCCAACATGCACCGGGAACAGGTCTGACTTACTGCCGGCAATGCGAACACAGCTCCTGCTCCGGTCATACAGGGACCGGACAGCCCTTAGCAAAGGGCCCCGGACCCCATACTCCCAGAGCACCCCCCACAGGACACCACGAGGGACACGGTCGAATGCCTTCTCCAAGTCCACAAAGCACATGTGGACTGGTTGGGCAAACTCCCATGAACCCTCGAGCACCCGGTGGAGAGTGTAGAGCCGGTCCAGTGTTCCACGGCCAGGACGAAAACCACACTGCTCCTCCTGGATCCGAGGTTCGACTATCGGCTGGATTCTCCTCTCCAGTACCCTGGCATAGACCTTACCGGGAAGGCTGAGGAGTGTGATCCCCCTATAGTTGGAACACACCCTCCGGTCCCCCTTCTTATACAGAGGGACCACCACCCCGGTTTGCCAGTCCAGAGGTACTGTCCCCGACCGCCACGCGATGTTGAAGAGGCGTGTCAGCCAAGACAGCCCTGCAACATCCAGAGACATAAGGTACTCAGGACGGATCTCATCCAACCCCGGAGCTTTGCCACCAAGGAGCTTTCCAACCACCTCAGTGACTTCAGCCAGGGTGATGGATGAGTCCGCCTCCGAGTCCCCAGCCTCGGCCTCCTCCTCAGAAGACCTGACGGTGGGATTGAGGAGATCCTCAAAGTATTCCTTCCACCGCCAGACAACATCCCCAGTCGAGGTCAGCAGCTCTCCCCCCGCACTGTAAACAGTGTTGGCGAAGAACTGCTTCCCCCTCCTGAGGCGCCGGACGGTTTGCCAGAATTTCTTTGAGGCCGTCCGATAGTCCTCCTCCATGGCCTCCCCGAACTCCTCCCAGCTCCGAGTTTTTGCCTCCGCGACCACACGGGCTGCAGCACGCTTGGCCCGCCGGTACCCGTCAGCTGCTTCAGGAGTCCCCCGAGCCAGCAAGGCCCGATAGGACTCCTTCTTCAGCTTGACGGCATCCCTTACTTCCGGTGTCCACCACCGGGTTCGGGGATTGCCGCCGCGACAGGCACCACAGACCTTACGCCCACAGCTCCGAGCAGCCGCATTGACAATAGAGGCCGAGAATGAAGCCCACTCGGACTCCATATCTCCAGCCTCCCCCGGAATCTGGGAGAAGTCCTCCCGGAGGTGTGAGTTGAAAGTCCCTCTGTCAGAGGGCTCCACCAGACGTTCCCAACGGACCCTCACTACACGCTTGGGCCTGCCAGGTCTTTCCGGGTTCCTGGTCGGTGCACTGTCTAGTACCCCTCCCAAGGACTCCAAGAAGGCCGGGTACTCAGCACTGCTGTTCGGCCCGTAGGCCGACACCACAGTGAGAAACCTGTCCCCGACCCGAAGGCGAAGGGATGCGACCCTCTCGTTCACCGGGGTGAACTCCAACACACAGCGGCTTAGCTGTGGAGAAATGAGCAGGCCCACACCAGCCCGCCGCCGCTCCCCGCGGCCAACGCCAGAGAAATGGAGAGTCCAGCCCCTCTCAAGGAGTTGGGTTCCAGAGCCCAAACTGTGCGTGGAGGTGAGGCCGACTATATCTAGTCTGTAACGCTCAACCTCCCGCACAAGCTCAGGCTCCTTTCCCCCCAGCGAGGTGACATTCCATGTCCCCAGAGCTAGTCTCCATGTCCGGAGATCCGGTCGCCGAGGCCCCCGCCGTCGACTGCCGCCCAGATCTCTCTGCACCGGCCCCATATGGCTCCTCCCGCGGGTGGTGGGCCCATGTGAGGACGGCCCCACGTCGCTCCTTCAGGCTAAGCCCGGCCGGGCCCCGTGGGGGAAGGCCCGGCCACCAGGCGCTCGCTGACGAGCACCCACCCCAGGCCTGGCTCCAGGGTGAGGCCCCGGTGACGCCAATCCGGGCGACGTAACTGGCCTCTGTGTGTTGCTCATCATGTGGGGCTTCTGAACCGTTCTTCGTCTGACCCGTCCCCCCGGACCTGTTTGCCTTGGGTGACCCTACCAGGGGCATGAAGCCCCCGACAACATAGCTCCTTTGATCATTCGGGCACTCAAACCCCTCCACCACGATAAGGTGACGGTTCATCTTTTCTTGCATGTAAATTGTCCCTAGATGGAATTTACTGTGTTGATGACATAGGCTGACGACATTTTTTCTGCTACTTTCTGTATTTTTGTTCTTTTCTTCTCTTCTTCTTTTCTACAAACACTGACATCCAAAACCTCACAAAACCAGCATTGATGAACAGCATTATAACGTGGTAGACATCTTAAATATATATATTTCACATACTGACCTCCCTGCTGCCTTACAGGTGTTCCCATATTTCCAATCTCCCCGCTGGATTCTCTGTCACATCACCAGTGTTCCTCCAGTCCAGTCTGGAATTTCCCTTCAGCCAGGCCCTGTCAGAGCTGCGTCACCAGGCAGGCCAAGGCCGGGTTTCCCCATGTGGTGCAGGTACATCAGGCTCATCTGAGCTTTATGAGGCAAAGAATGAAATGAAATCTTGATCCTTTTGTGTCCTTCTCTGAGATAGCCATCAGTTGGTGCAAAGTGTCAGAGAAACCATTAGATGTCACTGCCAATGGCTATAAGCATGGAGTTACCAAGAAAGCCCTGGGCACAGCAAAAGCCAGGTGAGACTGCAGGGAGTATCCCACATGAGAGCTCTCTTAGTATCTTGGATTCTTTTTAAAGACAAGCTGCAAGCCATCTTAAGACTTGTCACCAGTCTTGGTGGTGATGTGTCATATATCAGCTGTTTTATTCATACATGTTCAACACACAAACCCTGCATATTTAGGCTGTGTTCTTCTCTCAAACAGAAAACACTCTGTTCCACCGTGTGATGTCATGTGATAATACAGGAAACACTCCAGTGTGGTTTTAAATTCAATACACCTTCAGTAAAATAACATATACTTGTAATTTCAACCCTGGAATTGCCAACCTCTACAGAACTGAAGGTAAAAGGTAGCAATTAACTTTGAAAACTACCACACCATGACATCACGAGGTGGAACAGAGCACTTTGGGTATTATTAGTCTGTCTATATCTTCAAAGCTCAAACATGTGTGAATGAAATAAAACACAACACTGGGTATGTGTTTGAGGAGGTGACAATGGACGGCTTAAAGCTCAAAAGGGTAAAATTTTTTTGTAACATATGACCTTTAAAAACAATACAGTAGGAGATGTATTTACTTTGTTGATGTTTCAGTTGCTAGCTGCAAACCTCCTTCAGAACTGTCATCGGTTTTGGTGGTGATGTGTTGTATATCAGCTGTTGTTACTTCCTGTACTTCCCCAGACCAGTGGCAACAAGAGTCAGTAGGGGTGTGCATTGCCTTAAATCTGAGTATACAATACATATCATGATATGTATGTCACGATGCAATATATCCTGATATATTACCATATGAAAACAATGGATGATATATTTAGATATAGATAGATTTACAATGACTTCTAATAATGTAATCAACTACACCTGAAATCAGTTCAGATGCATTTTAAATCAATTTTAGAATTGTGCAATGAAGTATCGTGATAGCACTGAATAGTTTTTTTCTTACACCCTTGTGGTCAGTCTGCCAGTGGTCTGCCAGGGTCATTTGGCTGACCACACCTACAGGAAGTACCAACTGATTTACAACACATCACCACCAAAACCAATGACAGTGACTGAAGATGGCGTGAAGAAACATGTCAACAAGCTGAATACGTCTCCTACTGTAATGTCTTTAAAAAGAATCCAAGTTGCTAATGTATAAAAGAAGACAAAATATATGTTTTTGATATATATATATATATTTGCAGTGAGTGAGTACCCTACATGAGGTCTGTGTGTTTGAACAGGTCTCTGCTGTGTAAAAGGAACCTCTTCGAGTCCTTCTTGTCTGTCATGGCCGCCACACCGCCCTCTGAATGTCCTCTCTCCCTCAGGTAAATGCAGCCTCGCTCACTGGATATTACACTGATTTGCATTCAGTTCCTGCCTTGCCTAACCTTAATGTAAACTGTAACCTCAGAAAGGTATGATGCAGAATCTTTGTTTTTTTTTCTTTTTTTTCTAGCATTCTGTAATGTTCCCTAAAGAGATTTTAGATGTCATCCATGTATACTTGAGTATTTTAGTGATCTCTCCCAAGAACTTTCACATTGACATTCAAAATTACAGAGATAAGAGTAGGCCATTAAAAATATAACAAGCACAAGAGAGATGGAACATAATGTGATTTCAATGGATAAACTCGCACATTACTGGAAAAATACTTACCGAAAAGCACTATACTTTTTAAATGTTATCTACAGATATAACTGATTCAGAGTGAATCCCTACATCAGTAGTAGGACAAAAACTCAAGATGGCCCCAAAATCTATTTAGCAACATCACTAGACGCTTCTTAAGAAAGCAGCAGAGAGCAGCTCAAACTGTCAAGGTAACAGAAACAGAGGTCTCTTCATAGTATGATTATATCTGAAGATGTAATGAACCTAACCAAACAAATTTGCAATCAATCAGCTCATTCCAACCACTCAGCCCTGCCCTTCAACTCCATTTTAAACTTAAGGGGTTTTAGAATGTTGTGATATCACATGAACACAACCTATAGGCGAGTTTCATTGTTGACAAAAGCGCGCGTTGCATGCTGGGAATTATTTTGGTCGGTGGCAAGAAACACTAATTCAACATGACGGATGGAGCGAGAAAGCACGTAAAGGGTATTGATCCCGGTTATTTATCCACTCTAACGGCAGAGGACCCAAGACCATTTGACCAGAAATTGGTCATAAGCATCGATGGACGCCAAATCACCCTTTCCAACCCCTACAGAAGGTGGACCAAACAAAATTTCTGGTCAGAATCGCCAACTTCCTGAACAAATATTCACTTTGGCGATATCCACAATGACTTGGTGGAAACTCCTGGGCCATTCACAGCAGAAAAGATGGAAGCCTCCAAGAGTCTCGATGCGTTGTTGAACTTGTTGGAGTCCACGGTTTGTTAGGATCTTCTACATTTGCTCTGTGGATGTTTGAAAGCCGTTAGTGGTTCTTTTCACTTAGAATACGAAAAAGACATTTTCCTTCTTCCGTGCTTCTATTTGTGCATCCGATAATGCAGCAGGAATTGACCATTATGGGGGATAAATACGCGAGGTTACGCACTGTGTTTGACCGCTATTGTTTTTCTTGCCTCCGACCAAAATATTTCCCAGCATGCAACGCGGGCTTTTAATAATAATGACGTCAGCCGAAACTCGCCTATAGATGTTTCTATTCATACTATATTATTAGTGCTGTCATGCGATTAAAAAAATTGAGAGATTAATTAATTATGATCTGTAATTAATTAATCTAATTAATCTCATTTTAATCTCACCTAAAAAATGCTGAGAAAAGCTTCAATTTGAGGTATTTTCATTTAAATTCATTATTACATTATTGTGGCAGATCAAAAGACTGATATAGATTTTAAAAAGTGACTTTATAAAGTCATTTATTGTTTAACAAATCTCTCCAAATTGGCTGTTGAGCCCAAGTCTCCATGAATAAGAAACTGTTTGCTGTAAAGTAGCAAAGACGAGGAAATCTGAACATAATAACTTTTGTTTACTTAAAGACAATAAAAAGTCCAGTCTTTCCTTAAACATATTAAAAATATTATTGATAGAGAAATGCTTTAGATATGAGATCACTGGTTTTAGTCCTTGTTTTAGTCCTGGTTTAGACCTGGTTTAGACCTGCTTTAGTCCTACTTTAGTCCTAGTTTAGTCCTGGAAAGGGTTAGTCCTGGTTTTAGTCCTGGTTTTAGTCCTGGTGTTAGTTCTGGTGTTAGTTCTGGTTTAGTCCTGGTTTAGTCCTGGTTTAGACCTGGTTTAGACCTGGTTTAGTCCTGGTTTAGTCCTGGTTTAGACCTGGTTTTAGTTCTGGTTTTAGTTCTGGTTTAGACCTGGTTTAGTCCTGGTTTAGTCCTGGTTTAGTCCTGGTTTAGACCTGGTTTTAGTTCTGGTTTAGTTCTGGTTTAGTCCTGGTTTAGTCCTGGTTTAGTCCTGGTTTAGTCCTGGACTGGATTAGTCCTGGTTTTAGTCTTGGTGTTAGTTCTGGTTTAGAGGCGCACAGGAGGAAGCGCGGTTTACGCCGCGTACGCGAGAAAACACGATCCACACGCGGCTCACGGGAGCACGTCGGTGTCCACACAGTAACTACGGAAGGAAACGTGGTCCGCGCGTTCTCAGGTTAATGACGATGATGAAGGTGTGTGTTTGTGTTTGTGTGTGTTTGTGTGCGTGTCCCCTCGTGTGGCAGGTCACTATAGGACAGTAGTGCAGACATCATGAGTCTATGCAGGTTGTTTTCACCAGTGACATTTAAGTTGTAGGCGTATATTTGTTATTTTCTTTTATATTTCACGTCGGGAGAATAATTTACAAGACACGAATGTGTTTTTACCTGTGCACTGCTGCCTCTGTTCTACTGGCTACTGGACGTTTACGTCGCTCTTACTGCGCGCGTTTTGTGTGGGTTTCCGACAATGAGTGGAATTACCGAACTAAAAAAATGTATAAATGTGTTTTTTGTGTGTGTGTGTGTGTGTGTTGTTGTCCCAACAACACATAAAAACTGGTTTAATAATAAAGCAACTCGCATACAGAAACAGTAAAGTTAGAGATTAAAAATGAGATTAACGCGATTAAAAAACATAACGCGCTAAATATGACTGTAATTAATTAATCGTAATTAACGCGATAATTTGACACCCCTATATATTATATTATATTATATTATATTATATATGTCAGGTTCTATGTGATTAACATTGTTCAGTGCAATGAGATTGCACGTTTCTAATGTGTGTTGGACATGATCTATGAAGTAATTATAATTATAATTCCTCTTCATGTCCAGCAGGAGGCATCAACAGCCGTTATTACCTAGGTTTGTCTGAGTTGTGCCTCACCTAAATGTCTACACAGCTGGAGGACACTTTATATATCAGGGCAAGATGCTCTTTAAGTTAGTCTCTTTTGTATTGTGAGCTCCTCCAACAAAATAAAAACATAACAATTTTGTGCTGTGCTCCTTTCATGTCATCTCTCAGCTTCTCCTTCAGTCCCACTCTGAGACAAGGTGACCAGAGACTACCTGCTCAATGGCAAACCCTCTATATTTCTTAAAAAACAAAAACAAAACAAAAAAAACTTGTTACCACCTTCATGGTAGACTAAAATAAACTTGTCAATGTCACCCTTTTCACCCTCGCTTTTAAATCCATTTCCTGTTCCTTTCTTTCTTATATATATGCAAACATCATGGTAAATATTGTTTCCTGACTAAAATGGTGAGGTGGGGTCAAACCTAAATTTTATTTATTTATTCTTGTAGGGCTGTGGGGCTGTGCACATACTGGGACTACAAAGCTGCATGTGTGGAGTACCAGGATGCATGGGCCCATCTGCGCACACAGGCCTTCCCTCTTTGGCCCCGCTCTGACCGCAGCCTCCTGCTCTTCACTGGACACACACCACCTCTGTGAGGACAAGCATACCACCATGGTGCCTTATTCTCTCTGCTACTTAGCACAAAAATGTGGAGCTGAGTAGCAGATTTGTGCATGGCACTGTTTTTTTCTTATTCTACAGAAAATGAACAGAGCTATTATGTCATTTGTAGAGGAGGGTCTGCCTCATGCTTGTGTTTAGGCAGTTGGTTTTACTTTTGTTAGACATTGTCTATCTCCGTGGAGACAAAGCCACTAAGCCGAGTTAAAGGCCAAATTTGTGGAAAGCATTTTTATTGTGAGAAAATGTGTTGGCAATGATTTAAGTCAAAACTGGCATCAGCGGCCTGCTTAACCTGTAGACTCTTTGTCCACGTACACTCACAGGCTTTAAAATTAGATCAAAATGTGCATGTGTAGAAGAAATCAGAGCAGCAATTGAATTTTACTGTCAGGGTATTGAGTGATTTAAAGAAGGCTTTTGACATATATCATTCTATCCTTATTTCAAAAATAATGCTTGTCATATGTGATAAAAGGAGCAGGACTGGATTAGCTAACCAGCTATTTACAAATAGCAACAACAATAAAGGTAATAGGTGAAAATGCATGTATTTTTAGTGTGCTTTCCAAGAGGTTCGATTTTGAAACCTAGTATTTTATATAAATGTATATACATTTTATATTTTGTTTTATGGATTTATATAAATGATCTTAAAACCGTGTACACCTGCTGTGATGGAGAGGCTATTCCAGGTGATGGTTACGATGGTATGTACATGTGTGTAATAAACAGAAAAACAAAAAACGTCAGTGAAACATGAGTGATTATTCTAACAATAAGTACACCGATTAATAATATTAAATACATACTGAAAATACACACAGGAGTGGGAAGTGAGTGGGAAGGGGGAAAAAAATGGTCTATGTGACCCCGAGGAGAGCGTGAGGGTTTAATATCATCACAAACTTACTTGGACTCCAAAAAAACGCACACGGAACAATGAACATCGTCCTTTCTCTCCCACTTCTGCACTGGAGCGGAGCAGAGCCAAATGAATTAAGAGCACAGCACTGCCTGGACATGCACTCGCTGTGCGCTTGACAGGGCGTTTGCAGGAACTCTGTAAAAGACAGGCTCGGGTGCATAGGCTTTCGGACATAGCCGCCCCCTGTCTGCATGGCAGTTGAAAGGCAGAAAAAAGTCTATGTGGAGATGTCCTCACCCGAATCTTTTAGAGGTGGTAGCAGGATGAGTCTGGACGAAGGTAGGTGCGGTTCTTCACTTGAATGCTGCTTTGTGCGGATGCGTCCATCGGCTCATGGATGTGACTGGGTGATCCCTCCCACAGGCCATGAAACTTGAGGAAGCTGAGGATCCACGATCAAAATGACTTGACTGACCGAATGTGCTTTACCAGTCTTCCTCCACTTGCTGTGCTCTTGTAGCCCTGACAGGTAATGTCGGATGAAAGACGACCAGAAGTGATCAGCTATGGTTTGGTTATGCCTCCAGTACCTCTTTCTTAAAATATTGGGGTCATAAACTGCTTGAGGCAGAGATAAGTCGGCGGCCCATGAGGAGGAGGTTATGTGTGACTTGGTTCGGGTCTGAGGCGTCTGACAACAGGTTACCTCTGCCGCATATAACCCAGAGTCGGCGGCAGAGTTCGGCAAGGATCCGTTCTGGACCAGGGTGAAGCAGTGCCCCGTCGGTGTCCTTGATGATGAGCTTTGTGACCGGGTGTCTTGGGTCCAGGATAACTGGGTGGAGCGTTTCTAGATCGAGATCATCCGCATGTCTCAACCTTTCATCGACTCTGAGAAGTCCAGGGGCTTCTTCATATTCAGGTGAAAGAGAGTCAAGTCCACTGAAAGATGGAAGAGGACAACCACCTTTGAGGGCTCTTATCTTCTCGGGAAAACAGTGATTTTTGCTCTTTGCAACACAACCTTCTCTGCTTGCAGGAAGTCAGCGGCTGAGTGGGTGGATGGAATGCTACCATCGGCTGCCCCATGAAGGGATCTAATGAAGGTGGATTTTCTCAGCACGGTGGTGTTAATTCTGGATCAGATGATGGCATAGTGGGGCATTCCGCTTGTGGAAGATACAGGAAATGTGGGCCTTTATTTCAGCTGTGTTCCTGTGTCATCTCTTGCAGTTTGAGTCTGTGGGAAGTACCATCTGCAGAGGTGTGCTGAGATTTAATGTAGTGCCACTGTGAAGGGGCTGTCAGATTCTGGATCTCTGTGATGTGAGTGCCTACAAAGACTTTGTACCAGCAGGACTCTGACTTGATCCAGTAGAGCACAGTCGTGGAGTCTGACCAGAGGGTGATGTGCTCCGGTGGAACAGCAAGCTGTGTGCCGGTGAGAGTGGCACTGAGCTCAAGATGTGGGATGGATAGCTGCCCTCTGGATGCAACTCGGGATCTGGAAAACACAATGGAGACATCGGAGTGCTGACTGTCATCCACTGTCTGCATGAAGGCGACTGACCTGTAGGCGCATTCTGATGCGTCACGGAAAATATGAATACATTGGGTGTCAGTGGCTGTATCAGTAGAAGCTGGCACATAAGGACGTGGCAGCTTGAGATGCTAAAGAGTGGGAATCTCCTGTACCCATCTCAACTATTTGTCCAGAAGATCTGCGGAATGGATCTGGTCATGCCAACCAATGTTGGACTTCCACATGTCTTGGATAAGCACCTTACATCTGGTTGTGAATGGTAAAATGTAGCCTAGCGGATCGTAGAGCTTGGCAAGAACACTGTTTACGTGTCTTACAGTGGATTCAGTAGGATGACGCTTATAACTGAGGGTTCAGGCAACCCCAGGTGAGTCCAAGAGGGAGTTCGCTGAGATTGTCATAGCCACAGTCTTGCTACTAGCTAGACTATGCTTCGGGAGGTAAGTGTGCAACAATTTCAACAATTTGAGGCATGTTGCTTTTCCACTGCTGGATCTCAAATTCTCCATTGCTCAGGAGTGCACGCAGGTTATCGATCAGGGCCTTGGTGTCTTTAGTGTCACTCAAACTATGAAGGCAATTGTCGACATAGAACGAGTGCTCGACCACTTGCATGAGGAGAGAATCTGGTGACTCATGGTCCCTGATGTGCTGTTGTAGGGTATATACTGCGCAACAAGGGCTGCAAGTTGTGCCAAAAGGCCAAAAGGCAATACTTGCCAGATGCGAAGCTCCGATGTTTTCTCCGAGTTCCGCCAAACGAATCTGATAAGTGGTCTGTCTCTGAGCAGCAAGTGGATCTGATGAAACATCGACTTGATATCTCCATTGATGGCAACTGCATGGTGCCAAAATCTGAGCAGGACTCCAATGAAGGTAGGACTCAACGTGGGTCCGGGGAGGAGACTGTCTGTTGAAGGAAAAGGAACATTTGAAATTAACTCTGTCCTTTCCATTGTGGTGCACCATATGATGTGGCACATACCAGGATTCTTCAGTCTTGGCTGCTTCTTCCGATGGGATCTCTGTAACGTAGCTGACAAGTTTGTCCATCTCCTTGCAGTAAGAGGCTGTGCGCATAGGATCTTTGGCTAACCTGTGCTTTGTACTGTGTATATTGGGCATCACTGAGTCCGGAGGTGCGCACAGGGCAGTGACTGGTTGGCGATGCAGGAGAGGTGTAGAGTAGCGCTGGTACCTTCCATAGAAACCTGTTCTAAAGTAGTCTGTAGAAGGGTGAGGGCTGGAGGTCCTGCTTGGAACATGATGCATTCTTCTCACTGACATATGGGAGTGTATCAATGTGCCAAAGGCACAACATTCTTCAGGAGTTCGATGTAAGAAGACTTTGTGGCGATGTGCAGGCAAGACTGAGAAGAGACTGGCTTGATCTCTGAGAGACTTTGTAAGGACCAGCCTAATCTGGTGCAGATGGTTATGGGACCACCGTATGGGCCTACTCACACTGGCTGAGTCGGAATAAGGCGGTGAGGCATATCTGAGCCAATGAGCAACAGCAGTTGAGAGGTGAATAGGTGACAGGGGGAGTCCGTTTAGATGCTAGTGCTGCTGGAGGACAGCTACTGGAGAGGTATGGTCAGACAAACTCAGACTGTTTGCTGATCCAATACTTCCTGCTTGCCTTGACAGTGGGGGAGACGTGAAGGCTAACTGAAGAAGTTCTGAGCTCTTTCCCTGGGTAGGAAAGACTGGTACATATTGACAGACAGGTGCGGTAGGTGCAGGAGGGAATGCAGGGACAGGAACAGCAGCTAAGACAGGCAGCGCTGGCGGTCTAGTGATGGAAGAAGAGGCCTCTGAGTGGTTGTCAAAGTGGACAAAGATTTGTCCAAAGAGAGCTGGTTTAATACGTTGGTGGTGCTCCGTGACCTCCACCACAGGCCCACCACAGGCTATATTCCATGTAAGGGCTGCAGGCTAAGGGCCAAACCCAAATGATGCAGGAATATGAATAACGACAGAGCAATTAGTAAGTAAGTCTTTATTTATATAGCACTTTTCACAGACATTTTTGTCACAAAGACACTTTACAGAGCATTACATTCAGCATTATTCATTCACTCTATACCTGGTGATGGTAAGCTACTGTTGTAGCCACAGCTGCCCTGGAGCAGACTGACAGAAGCGCAGCTGCCATGCCAATCAGCACCAATGGCCCCTCTGACCACCACCATCACTCACGCACACGCCACTTTCATACTAGGGAATATGGGTGAAGTGTCTAGCCACTAGCACAAGTGCTAATTTCCACCTGTAGTCCCTGGGCAGGTTCATTGACTGATTATCCACCACAAGGGGAACCTCACTACAAGCACCTGGTGGGTGCCCACCTGCGTGTCCCAGCGCTGTCGGTGTGTCCGGACACTGCGCTTCTCCAGGGGTTTGTGCTGCTGCAGACTGCTTTGTGTTGTCCTATATGTATATCTGTGCTTAGTTAGTTTATTTGTTTATTTATTTGTTCATTTATTTATTTATTTCAGTGACGGTGCATATTAATGAACATTTCTGTAAATATGCCAGAATTGGGCAGGAAGGTCTTTCATCTGTAGTCCTGTAACAGATGTTAATGTCAGCCTAAAAACAAAAAAGGATCAAATGTAACAGTATTCAATAAGCAAATATTGCACTATTTACAACACAAGGCACAGGCACCTCAACCTACAGTCCAACAGAGATACCCCTCATGGAATACTCATAAAATACTTACACAATTACATAAACACAATTACATAATGACATAATTGTGGATATGGGTTTCCAGCCAGAGGAGCAGCCCCTCTCCTCTATCTGTTCCTCTGGTTCTGTGACTGGTGATTCTGATAATGTTGGTCCTTAGTTTGTGGCAGGTCCGCCCTAACAGCTTTTGTGGGCCACAGGGCGGGCCTGAAACTCCCTTCACAGGGAGATTCATTACATGATCTCTGTTGTGGTTATCTGGACTGATCTCATGTCACAGCATATGACCAACTTTATGAAAGCCAACTTTCTGAATGATAAAATTAATGTTACATAATTTTATTATTTTACAGTTACAGTATATTGTGACTTGAATAATGTGCATTATAATTTTGACATCCCAGATAGGTTAGTTGCTATTTTTCTGTATGCACCATGTGCTATAAATTACCAGTTGGGCCATTTTTGCCCAGCTCTGATAATTTTTGCTCATGTAGCCTATTTACTAATCAGTACAATCATCATAAGCAGTCAGTTTCACTGCTAATTTAAGTAATAATCATATTATGACACAACCAAAGCCTTATTATAGTGCCTCTATTTTTCAACTCCACTTCAAAAAT